TGGATTCGGTGGTTAAAAAATAAAATAAAAAATCCAGAGAAAGTACACAAGCAGAAACTTCAAGAAACAAGACAGCCAATTGGGGATTTGACAGATAATGGCCCTTAAGAGATGAAAATGGAACACTGTGTATCAGAGCGGGAACGAGAGGACCAATATGAGAGTGAGAGTGTTTTGTAATGCGTGTGCTAATTGCTTGCAGGATCCCACCAGGTTTGGTGTGGGTCACTTAGTTTCCCTGTTGTGTGTGTGTGTGTGTTTTTTTTTTTTGTTGTTTTTTTTTTTTTTACAATGACCCTCGAAATGATGCGCACGGAAATGGATCCGTACTAAATAGGTAAAGCAACTTGGGCTTTTATTCTTTCTTAAGAGCATACAATAGTGGTGCCATGGTATAGATTCAGATTTTAGACATTTCACCTGTCGCATTTTGATTCACATCAGACCCTGTGTACAATATTTCTTGTTGAACCAAGGTGGTTCAAGCTCTTTCAAGTCATGTGGACGGGCGGGCAAACTGAGGACTCGATGAATAAAGGCAATAAGAGACGTGGGTGAGAAAACATGAGGTGAGCCTCTGGGGAAATTGGGGAGACAAATGCGTAAAATGCCGGAAAACGCACCACCTGCGCTGTCCGGTTTTTAAAGCAAGACCAAAATATTGGCCAGACCTCGAAATCCAACATTTCTTCTATCCGCGATGTGGTCAACCACAACCACAAATCCCAATTTATTTTCCATTTAACGTGATTACCTGCTTAAGACTAATTGTCTGCTTCACTGCAATATGCTGTGAAGATGATTTCACATTATCGGGCATTACTGGTGCCTGATAGCATTAAAACCAAGTCACGCTTGACAAACGGATTCACACGGATACCAAAATGGAGAGCCGACTAACAAAAACACACACGGAAGGTTAAACACGGACAGGGTAGGGGTGAGAAAGACCGCTTCGCATTTCCTCTCCTCATCCCATTAACGTCAAGCCTGCAGCAGCCACCCTCGAATTACATTACAGTCCATTCAGCATTACATCGTTCAATCTCTTGAGCATTCGTATGCATGTGATGGAAGGAGACCCTCCAGTCAGCACTCTTGTGTGGTGCCCGCACACACGCACATCCAAGCGCACTAATCTAAAGCCGTCAACTATCTGCTATCGGTGCATTCAGGGCACTTTTGGAAATGGCACCATGAAGGTCAACAGGTTCACCCCTACGCCTCCGCACCCCTTGACTTTTTCTTATCGTCACACCTGCAACACAAGCGGAGGGATGTCTCACTGTCGCAAATGATTACCTGGCTTGACTCCAGCTAAGAGATAACAAGGGAAGTCAAAAGTACGTGATCGTATTGAACTCAAAGTCCTTGCAAAGTGCATAGAAATGTCTTGTAAAATTGACACACCACAGAGTACCAACAAACGTAGGAAATTAGAATAATAACTAAAAAATATATCTACAATTATCCCTCATGTTTCGGCATCGCACCACGCCCCTCCCAAAGGGGTCGGCCCCAGTATTTGAGAAGCCCTGTATACTGTAAACCCCAATAAAAAAATAAAAAACAATCACTCAATCTACATATCTCTGCGATCCAAGAGGTGCGTTCCAAAAAAAACAAAACATACTAGTGTGTGAATGTCAGTATGAAGGACACACGTGCTATAGCGAGAGCAAATGCCCGGATGCTGCAGCCAAGTGGAGACTGTGGAGTATGACGGAAATTGAACGAAAAACGTAAATGTCAACTGACCCCTCGGGCTGTTGCAGGAAGTTCTTCATAGCCTTCACCTGCTGGAAGTGACATGACATGTCGGTGGCCAGCACCATCTCCACGACCAGAGCGCGCAGCTCTCTGTGAGACAAACACAAGACAAAATGAACTCTCACACCTTGGGGGGAATAAAAAGAATCAAAAGCTTGCTGGGACAAAAAAGCAGGCAGCCGGCACAGACTTTGAGAGCTATTTATAAATGTCTTGCTTTGACAGGTCCGGACTCATGCTACGAAAATTGGATTGATGCTGTCTGCTTTAATATATTATCACAGTTTCGCCGTGTGCAGAACTGTTGGACCGTGAAAGCGCTTGTCATTTCCCACAGAACAAAAAGCAGGTTCACGATGAATGCGTAATGTGCACACATGGATCACCGGCCTGAACTTTTATATCACTTCTTCATATTATTTTTGGTGCAGCGGTAACTTGAATTGCGAATTGAATGCCTTGTGTGGCCACTTTGCCCTAATTTCAAATCAAATATTCCCCAGTGACGATAATTGAACTGAGATTATTCCACTCCAAGCCACCTCCCAAATCCCCAATTTTAATTATTTTTTTTGCCTACGAACCCCCCCCCTCCAAAAAAAAAGGTTACTGTAGTTTCCAACAAGCGGCGGCTCTTCAGTCGAAAAATTTATAAATTGCGACACTCGTAAGTCAAGATAGGACTGTATTTTATTTCCCCGTTGGCGTCACTCAGCCCCCTCTCCTTTGCTCTGACCTCCAGTCATCCTTGGAGAGGTTGTACAGGATGTTCATCTCGTCGTCGTCCTGCAGCAGGCGGTAGGCCGCGCTCACGTGGTGGCTCTCCAACACCGAGCGGTCGTTGTACAGGATAGCCGTGTCGGACCTGGGAGGAGGCCAAGCAAGGAGTCCATTACGCTGTTCATGACCGCCGGCGACCAACTCATGTCATCGCTTCTCGTTTTCTTTCGGCATAATTAGGGAGATGGCCTTGATGATATTTAGCTCGGGATTTTTCAATTTTTGGTGATGAGGGGATTTTATCGCCCATGCTGGAATTAGATCAGTCTAATGTTCATATCAATGAGATTAAATTGCCTGAAAACGTAATGGATTTCAATTCAGGCCAAACTACTTTGCTGCCGAAATGGAAATCCCTTGGCACACAGACAGTGAATGACTGTAATATCCCGGACTTTGTGGCTCATCTCAAAGTCTATCGGTTCATTTCATAGTGCGAGGGGATGGATAGCAGGCCTTCTTTGAGGGAAGTTACAGTGATGCCGAGAGTTGTATCGTCGGCTATTTTTTTTGCTGCTTCGTGTATGACGACACGGTGGGAGGAACTAAGACACACCATGGCTGTAACTTCTCCACAAGTGGAGCTTGTTTTGATTCGATTTCTTGATTTCTATTGTGCGGGATGAGCAATTTTCGCTTCGCATGTTTACATTTACGCATGACATCACTTTATGGTACAACACTGCGTTTGTGTAACTTTAGAGTCACAGTATTTACTCATGGAGTTTGTGGTTCTCCCAATTTGACTCCATCAAAAAAATCTTAAAAGTTTCATGTTCAAGTAGCGAGCGCATTTCTTTGAATGTCCTTCCCTGCTCCCTTACACTGTGAAACAAGTCTTTATTTTACAAGCTGCGGAGCTCTATTTGGTCTCTTGTCCTTATGTTATTGCCGCGGCAGCGCCCGCGTGTATAAAGGCCCCTCTCGCCTTGGTAAATGAGGGCATCGATCTCGGAGTCGAGAGCTGAGCGCATTTGATTTGATGATCCATTACCTTGTCTGAATGTGGAAGTTGTTTGTAGTGCCCGTGTGCTCGTAGTCGTGCACGGCCGCTGCGAAGATCATGGCAAAGATCTCCAACTCAGTTAACCAATGCTGGTGGATGGGGCGGGGTGGGGGGAATGAAGACAAGAAGGTGATGATGGGCGGGGGTGGCGGCGCAATGGAAAGGGCAGCCGTGAATGAGAAAGAATGCGCAGGGGAGGGAATAATGGACAGGAATTAAGTGATGCGAAATGGGAAGGCAGTGAATGGAAAAGCAAGGAAGGTTGCGTGATGAAGATGTGTAGGAGGGAATACATTACGGTTTGGGATGAATGGAAACAAACGGGCGATGGGGGAAGTTGTGGCGAAGGTCAGAGGAGCGAAAAGAAAAGTTTAGAGAAGACAAGTTCAATACTAAAAGTGTCATTTTAATGTCAAGTTGACTGACTGGCTGGCTCCTTAAGGTAAAGTTGCACTTAAAAAAAAAATCAGCTTTAAACAGTGCCTTCTGGGCATCTCAACATCATATTTTACAAGGAGACATGCTTTTTCACCCCCCGCAATTTAAAAATACGAGCCCCAAACACGTTTTGAACACAAAATATCCCAAACATAAAAAAAATGACATCACAGCACAACCTTATGCAAATGAGCCACGGCTGGCTCCACCCACTATACTGTGGGCCAGTGTCAACAAATACAGTTTTTGTGACCGTCAGCTAGTCCAGTGATCCACAAAGTGTGGTACCAGCACCACTGGTACGCAGTCTCTCGTTAATGGGACGACAAAAAAAAAAAAAAATCACGGCCAAAGTACAGCAGCGTTGTATTTAACTTTTCAGTAGGACGCTTTTACATGTCATCTTTCAGAATGCTTTGTTTTTAATTTGTCATTTCGGTACAATGTTCAATAAATATTAATTGAATCATTAAGGACTTTTTTTCAACATTTTAAATTGACTGGACCTATACGGCGGAGCCCTGCATATTTCATATCCGCCCTGTGTCCTTTTCCTAAAAGATTATTTTGTTCTCATACTAAATAGCACATCGAATCGCTTCCGAATATCCTTCATCTGCTACACGTTGTCTTACCTTGCGACTACATTATGACTGCACCTTGATGTGTGAGCGTGCATGCGTCAGCTTTCATGAAGCGTTCATGTGGATGTTGGTGTTACACACAAACACACACCCGTGAGTGAGCATTTTGGTGGGGCGCACGCATGTCTGCGGAGAGAACTCAGCTGGATATGGTTGACTAATCAACAGCGGGGGATGTGAAAGGCGCGAGGAACAAGAGAGGGAGCAAGACGACCTATGCGTCGTCCCCTTGGCGTATTTGCTCGTGGGCCCGCTTTATGAATGACCTGTTGATTGTTGATTTAATGGAGTCTGGAGGGCGCGCGGAATGACAAATGCTCTTGCGTGGCTCTCCCAGGAGCCCCGTGGTCACAGCGGTAATGTGGTTTCCTGCGCGAGGCGCGGCCCGCAGAAAAAGCCAGCGTGTCGGCGGCTGTCACGGCCATCTTATTAGGGTGATGAAAGAAAAACACTGTGGAAGCGAGGGGTGGCTGGATAGAAATTGGGAATGAAAAGAGCCAAGTGCTGTTTTTCTTGTGCTGAGGAAAAAGTATATAAGGTTAATCCAGCGGTGTTGTTCTGACTACTAAGTGGACCTTGATGGAAGGCTTTAAACTGAACTCACACAAAATGATGGTCCTTCATTTGCAAATTTAAGGATTACAAATATCCAGGGACTTTTTTTTTTTAATTTGCTTACCCACATACGATGTTATAGATTTGTGTGAGCTAATGCTATTGATGAGCCTCATGTGAAGGTGGTTGTCTCTCTTGAATAATTTAACTACTGAGCACAGTCATTTATATAACACATGACTGTGTATATGTTCGATACGTGTTTATGCTTTACGGGTTATTCATTGTCACAGGCCAGAATAAATGAATCAATTCAGACATACTCACCACCATGCCGGTCTTGAGTAATAAGTAATGAACAGTCTGTGTTACGTCAGCAGCATGTATCAAGTTGTGGTAGGGGTTTTTATGCTTGCTGTATCCAACTTCCAAGGCCTCAACAAATGACACGACTGCAGAAATTGGGATCTGGAGGGCAAAGAAAACAAAGATTATTAAAACGGTGTCCTTGTGATGACTGAATGGAGGTTTCCAAAGCTTTTTAATGGTGTTTTTTTGTCTTTTTCTACACCCACGTTCAAGCCTCTAAATGCCATTAGAGCAGTTAAACATGGCACAAAGTGCACCTGCCATTTTGTCACATGCGGTCTGGTAAATGGTAAATGGGCTGTCACTTTTGTAATTATTATTGTGAGGACAAAAAGGTAGTTAGGTCTTATCGGGTGAGCACCGAGTGCGAATTCAGGTGTATGTTTATCGCTGACATTCAGGCCAAACACTTTGTTTTAACAAGTACTTGTCAAGGTTTCGTAAATTTCATGTTTTCTCTATATAATGTTTGTTGATTTAAAAAAATATATATTTTAGTATTACAGCATTGTTCCATTTTTTTGGGTCTTCTTTTCTTTTCTTTGTTTTTTTAATATGCTTACAAACAGGTTGTACTGTATCTTTACCTTGAAACGGCTGATGAGGTCGTATCTGGTGAGCAACTCGTAGAAAATGAATTTAAGTGCGTGATCACCACTGGCCTCGTTCAGAGCGAACACGTCAAATGACCACTTGTCAACATTCTGTGTGGGAGAAGAAAAAAAAAGGTGTTGTACTCTTTTGGTCATAAATTTCAGCAACAACATGAATTCTACTTATTTCCAGCCATGTAGTAGTACTGTGTGCAAAAGGTGTTTTTCCAGATCTGCTTGTGCTTGATTTTGGAGGGCACGTGTTCATACCTTCAGCACAGATATAACGGAAGGCGGGTAGCTGAGTCCCACCAAATTGGAGGTGCGTCGGTACATTCTGTTTGGATGAGATAAAACACACCGCTGTGCGTCAACACAAGTGGTCCCAAACTAACACTCGCGCGCCTTCGCCGCGCGAGTGTTAGCAAATGTTCGTTCATGTTTTTTTTTTTTTTGTCAGTGTTGGTGAAAGGTTGCAAAAATTCCAAAGAAAGGTCGCCAGATAATTGCAAACAGTTTTTCCTGTCGCCATCCAATTTCATTAACATTCAGTTCAATAACATTTTAATGCTGCAATCCAATTGATTGTGCTGATCCTTCTGGTGTGCCATTATAATACTACAATGCCATCTTTTGTTGTTCAACTTTTGTTGTTCAACTTCTCTGTCGCTTCTAAGACAACAACTACCGATGCTAATCATGAGGTACAGTAATCGTTGTTTGTTAGCATTGAACGGAGCAGACATTCTGAAAGTCAACTGGTTGTTTTCAATAGATGACGCGCAGTTGATGGGTCACTTGTATCTCAAGGCGCCACTGTTGTTCCCTTGGCACCAAGATATCACGAAACGACAATATTTTGAAATTAGACATGGTTGGGGTAGGTGATTTTCCGCCAATAATGGAAGGTAGGTTCATTTAAGAAAAAAGAAATACAAATATATGAATCTACACGTAGTGAATTACGTATACGCTGGGGAACACCGTACTTAGTTTTACCTCTCCACAAATATTCCCGCCTGGACGGCATGGACGATGCTTCGGAAACGAGGTTTCTCCTCATTACGTCGCAGCATCAGGCCCATCTGTCGCGTGAAGGTGGAGGCCAGCCAGTCACGCACCTCCGACGGTACCGACTCGGACTGGATGTCGCTGAGCTCATCCTCTGTGTCCACCAAACGCCTGAAAGGAGAAGAGGGGAGGGGAGGGTAAAATTCAGCTGGCGGCAGTCTGACAAGGGGATCAAGGCCAAATCCTCGCGATGCCCATCAAATTTCATCACATCTTACGTAACGTTGCTTCTTAAAATGCCATGATGCCCCATTCAAATCCAATTGTGTGACAGCATTGGCTCGATCATGTTTCGCTTGATGTGTACCGTCAAAGCCTCCGAACCGAGCGCAATTTGTGACGGCAAGGCACAGCAACGCATCACATCACAGGTGCTCAGCGCAGTCCTGCGCTCTTATGGGTTCATCATCCGCCATCCTGGCTCGGGTGGTCGTGCTATCGCCGGCCCTAATCTGCTTGGATCCACATGACGGAGAGGTTTACATAATTTCATAATCCTGGACATATCTCATACTCTGGACCTGCAGGCCACACATCATTCTTATCACTTAGGCTTGCCTCATATTGGGGAGGAAACGTTTTCCCCGAAATAAGTAAAAATAAGGAAATGAATAAATGATAAAAAATAAAATGTCATGAAATATTCAGTATTACTATTGACTCTTGTATGTTTATCATTCCAACAGCATTTCACAGGTCTTTGAGAATCCTACGCACGGTGATGGTTCTAGTTTCCATTCCACTATTTTACATTAATTTTCATATGTAAACATGTATTATTTTGCTTTTTTTTTTTTTACATGTCCCATCTCATATTTGATATTTTTTCCTCCAATATACTCATGGCATTCCTAACATTTTCATGTATTTATTTGGATCGATATTTTTAATGTATTTTTTTTACACTTAGTGCTTGTTTGTGTCATATATTTGTTTTATTTTACAACATTTTTCTTATCATATTTTTGTAGTTTTTTTTCTGTTTGCTACTTTCTGACCAATGTAGCTATTTTTTCCCCCTGAATATATTTGTATTTTTCTACTTGTCTATTTTAATAATTGTCAACATCGTTTTTGTCATATTTTTCAAACATTTCCATATTCATTCTGTCTTCTATTTGTTTTTAGATTTTTTTTGTTTTGTTGGTCATAGTCTGAGGATGATTGCTTCAGCTCTTATTAAACTGTCCACATAGTAAGGTTATGACAACCACCTTAACCTCGTATTAGGGTCGAAGCATGGCGATGCAGCGACGGATTTCAAATCTCACCTCGTCTCCTCGATGTAGACCGATTCCAGCACGGACGCCGCATACTCGAGGTTCTTCTTGAGGTCGGCAAGGGAAGCCTCCCCTCTCTCCAGCTGTTTGACCAGACATCTTAATCTAAAACAGACATTGGACAAACCAGTTCACAAAGTGGATTAACTCCTCTGCCATGTTGACATGATCCATTCACTGGCTAATATTATCATCTGGTTTGCCTCGGCCGCTTGTTTTTCCTTGCGGCAATGACCTATAATACATGTCTGAGACACAGTAGTTAGAATTAAGTACAGAGCCAAAGGTCATTGGGGTCTGGCAAATACAAACACAATAAACTTGACTTCTTGCAGTAGGCCACACTGGCTGCTGACGCTTCGTTCGGGGGTGGGGGTGGAGGGGGGGGTGTCATGTGATCGCCCATAGTGAAAGCCCTTGCAGGCGACGCGTGTTGTTGAATTATTAAGCGGAAAGGTTTCAGATGCTCTCATTGATTACAGGTAACGTGACAGCGGCCGTATTTTTGCCTCCTAATTGAAGGCTTCTGCATGCAACAATTCTCCCAATTCGGCTGCCGAAAGAATTAAAACAATCAGTCACCAGATTCACACGCATATGTTGAATGCTGCATCCATGAGCGAGATTTCATCGCACTTTACTGTCCACTGCATTTAACATTTACCCGATGCCAGCGGCTGATTCTTATCCGTTTATCGTTTCACCCGGCACAAGTGGGTGAACAAATTAACCTTGAAAAAGCAGATTGCAGGCTGAAATACGTGAAGGTCAGAGAAAACAGAGTGACTAAGAAAGCATCCTTTGAAGACACAGAGTTGTGGTTTCGATGTGTCGTTTGATGTAAGGACCCCCTGCCGCACTTTAGGTCAGAGCTGGCGCTTGTGTAGTCCACTTGTGAGAGTTTCCCCCTTTGTGGTGAATGATTACGATTGCCACCAAACACGGTCCATTTGTTACATTTTGGTGACGACCCTTTAAACGGGCCGTCACTTGGTACTGCGCTTTTCTACCTCGGGTACTCAAAGCGCTTCATTCTGTTACCTCATTCACCAACTGATGACGCAGCATCAGGAGCAACTGGGGGTTCAGTATCTTGCTCAAGGACACTTCAATATGGTCGCAATGGCAACCGCGGGAAATGGTCCAAATCCCCGCTTGCTGCCTGTGTGCTTCACAGCTATTTCTTTTTTTTCTTTTTTTAATACATGTTGGAACATGTGCCCAATTTGGAATGCACTGTTTATGGCGACTAATCTTCTCTCATTCTCTGGGAGCAGCCTAATTGTGTTTTGGGTGGGATGGGACACCCACAGTGTATCTATTTTCACCAGGATCCAAGTGATGGAATTTTGAGTGAGAAGAGTTTGGAGACTTTGAAAGAAATCGGAGGATCAGGATTCAGGTTAGCGCAGAGCCATGAAACTGCTCTCAACAATGATGAAATCTCTAACCCTTCAAAAGAAAGCGTCTCCCTTCTCTCTGGTATACGTGATTGAAATTTGGTAGCCACCTGACAAAGTTTCCAAGACGAGTTCGTCTGCGAAGGATGCCTGAAAGTGATCCAAAAGTTGCATAAAAGGACTGCTTCACACCAAAATGTCAGCTTTCCTGAGTGGCGAGTGTTTTCGAGCATGGCGACTTGAAATTTTTTTGTGTCTTGTCGTAATAGACATGCCAACTAATAACCACCATACCCTGATGCCTATTGATCCCTGCATGTGGAGCATTTTATTCTGTTCTTTTTGCTCGCAAACAAAATGACCTTGGCTATATCGTGTGCGATCTAAGCGTCTCGCATTTTAATTCCACTGCATCCACATCTTTGCTGCATTTCAATAACAATGAAACTATTCAAAATCCTTCGGCTCCACTAGCATTCCTTTAATACAGATCCTAGTCTTAGATTCTTACATTTAAAAAAAAATTTTTTTAAATTATACTGCTAAGTTACATATCTCATGGCTGTTCACAGCTGCCTTCCGGTGTTGCGCTGTACGGCTATTTTAAGAGTTATGAGGAAGTGATTGGATGTAGGGAGCGTCATCAGCACGTGTGGTTTTGGCTAGCTAATGACAGTTATTAGGAGCAGCTGTGTGCCGCAGAGCTCCCCTGCTCATATCGGCGTCACGGAAAAACCACAGTCACTCTATAAACAATTAGAAAACGTTCAAAAGTCATGCGATAGGTAGGAAATTATATCCATTGTGCGTCAATATAGCACGAATTTGGGTTTTTTTTGTTTAAAATAAAGAGAATCCACAATATTGAAAAAATATTCAGTGCGTGCATGTCGCCGCGTGAGGGTGAGCATCGGCGTATACCTGCGTGCGCATTAGAGTGTGTGAGTGTGTGTTTTTGCTCAATATTGCTCTGACAGCTGAGGTCAGGCACGGCGGCCTGGAAGCGCTTGACCCTCTGAAGATGCGCTTTAATCACGCGTTACACGCCAGATGCTCACAAAGACACGTCCCCGGCATACCGTATGTGCAACGTTTCACAAATCTCACAAGACCCCGGCGCACCCCACTGTGAAACTGTTATTTTACGAATCAAACTGTTTATACAGCGGTACTTCGACTGAGCAGTGAGGTCACGTCTCTGTTTTCCAGGAAAGAACACGCCACTCAAACATGTTGAGTTGCTAGCAAAAATTTGTGTTAAGAGCGCTTAAATGGTGGCGGCGAATTTCACAAGAAGCAACAGAGTGCTGATGTGCCATATTTATCCCAACTCATACCATAACCATAACAATAAGCCATTTTCAGCCTTTCCAAGAGCATTTTCAGCAGAGCGGAAAGAAAAGGAGGCAAGGGATCAGAATGTCGGCATCGCCGCTTCCATTTTCCGATGACATTCCTGGCTCAACGGTGTGTAATCAATGCCCTGGGGTCAATATAATCACCCGTGAAGATTAGCGTGTGCGCTCGGGGGACACGCAGCGCTGTTTTGTGATAAGATAAGCGGCACGAGGACTGTGAAAACATGATGTCTGAGGTCCTGCGGCTGTGCTGTGATTTGAGGCTAGATGGATGTGGAGAACTAGCAGAGATGTACCAGTAATTTGATCTCAAGTTGCTGTGTGATCAGCAGAAAATTGCTCGTCGGCCAAATGGAAACACGGAACTCATCCCAAGTTGTGTTACGTAAATCAAGTTGATAAAGTAGCACCCACAATTGAGTTTGGGAGGGAACCAGCTGTTGTGTGGACTAAAACGCTTTCACCGCTCTCATTGAGTGATTTTTGTGCGTGTGTGCTTCATTGAACAATGGTGGCAACTCCTTGGAAAATTTCCGATACGCGTTTCTAAACAAAGCCTTTCCCGTGGGAGGCGGCGCGTGACAGACGTGACGAGAGCAGCGGGCGACAGAAGAATCCTTAAAAAAGATCAGTGCTCGGCTGAACGCGGCCCACTCATGTCAATGTCTCAATCAAACGCACCTAAAGGAGTTCAAAGACGAAGGCACTTTAAATATTATTTAAAAAAAAAAAAGCCAAATGAATATGTGTTTGCGTCATGCCCTGTTAAAGTCTCTCTAAAATGAAATGTCATCTAAATTTGACACAGCAGAGAAGTGTTGCAAACAGGCCCGGCAAATTCAAATACTGTACTTACAAGATTGCTCAGTAGAGTGATGCCTTGAGATACAAATTCAATTTGTTCTGCGACCATGATCATAACGCAAAACACTAGTATCTTTTCTTATTAGAATGAACCGAAACGGATGAATCAGTTTCAGCCTTCACCCTCTGCGTATCATTTGTAGAAACAGGAATTATTTGACACAACAATGATTTTTGGAAAATATTGAGAGGGCACAGAGAAAAAAAAAAATCTGGTGATGAACACCTCCAGCATTGCGACAAACATCTGCTGAGTGAAGCTTCAAAGCTGTAAGAAAATTTATTTTTGTGAAATTTGAGTTGATAAACGCAATGGACCGCGTCTGTTTGATTTTGCAGCAGCCGAGTCATCATTCTTAAAGGGCCAAACGTTCATCCGATGGAGCTTTTACTGTCATGATAAGCTCTGCAGCCATTTCCATGTGAAAGAAAGGCCCCATAAATTGTGACGGCGCCCTGACTATGTTTGGGTTTAATATCTAGAGAGCTTGAAAAGGATGAAACTGCCATCGGCCACAAAAATGACAGCAAAGGGTATTCGGCCAATATTTTATTACAAGCGTCTTTCATAGCTTTGGCTCTTTTTTTTTTTGTATTAATCCGAGTGAGCAATTTGACATTTCAGGGGGAAAAGTCATTTGTTTTGCAGCAGAGAGCTTAATGGTGCACAGTCGGACTGCGTCATGATCCGGCACGATAACAATTGTGGCGGGCACACTGATGTCAGGAAGATAATGTTGATGATGGCAACTAAGAGATTTGCGCCCCTTGACCACCTTGGGGAAGATTATAATGCAGACAGAAGGATATATTCTACATGTAGCCGGTACCGGCTCCTCAGTAAGCAATCGTAAATATTAGTCGGTCTTTGTAGAGGATAAAGAATGTATGCCTGTAAATATTGTTAAATTAACATTCTACAAGTGTTGCCCCAACATTTGTGTTCGAAAATCTGATGCTATTTGTTAACCACTCCATAGTGTTTCCCAGTATGTGTTACCATTAAAACAGCAAAAAGTTATGCAATTGTAATCAGCTCTATTATATTGTATCATTTAGTATGATTGACTCATTTGAAACCTAACGCCAGGAAATAGAACAGTAAAACTTCTTTAAACTTAACCTTAAAAATTCAGTCAGGGCAGTCATGCTAATATGTAGCAAGCTAGCATTTGAAGCAAGGATAAGACAGAAATTTTGTGAAGCAGAAAGTCTCTCAAAGGTGTTGTGGTTTGACGCGTGTTGATGCCGCCTTTGTATCGGTGCCAAAGAATCTGTGACCCTGACTTGTACAAGAAGAGACACAGTCTCTCAGGACATCAAGTGGGAGGCCAAGATTAACTCCATCCTGACAAAGGCCCGGCAGAGGATGTACTGTACTTCCTGATGCTGCTGAGGAAGCTTCTTCTACATGCTTGGCCAATCAAGATGATTCTCATTCTATTGTCTTAGGCCTCCTTCACCATTTATTACGCAGGAAACA